CATTGTAGTACATTGTCACGTTCAGTTTGATGCAGCAGGTTACATAGGAATTGGTTCTTGAAAAGTTTAAAGGAGACCAACTGAGCGATTTACAAGCGACTGCATGATCAAGTTACATGTTAAAAGTCATTGTCGCTCTCCTCGAGGATTTGTGGGTGTAGTGATCGCTTTGACCGTCCGGCTTTGGCAGAGGATCCCTCCAGACTGTCATTGTCTTCGTCCAGATCCTCGTTTTCCTCCTCATCTTCCTCACCATCTTCATCATCATCGTCTACGTCAATCTCACTGTTCTCTGACTGCAAACCAAAGCACATTGTGAATTACATAACAGAACACACACACAGCAGTCAGTGGATGGTGGTGATTGGAACGAGGCTCAATTAATACTCCTTATTCAGATTTATTAGAACGAGTAATTATGAGAACGCCCAGGAGTTCACGCTCGCACTCAAACACGCCAGCTAAAACAAAACTAAAATAAATTGAAAGCTATCTCATAAAATATAAATATTAAATGAAAAACATACACTTTGACCAAGTTCAGTTAGTTAGTCTAAACTTGAAAGAGAACCTAAATTACTCAAACTGATATATATTTGTACTTTTTTAAATCTATATTTAACAAAAATATAAAGTGGTGAATTGTTTTTTGTTTTTTTTGTGTGCAAACGCAGCAAACTTACTTTATTAAATTAAGTTTAAACCACTGGAGTCAATGGATTACTATCGCTCTGGGGTTGTGTGGCTGTCAATGGAGGGACAGAAAGTCTTACGCGTTTGGACCGACATGACAGAATTTTTATTTTTGGCTGAACTAACCCTTGAATACTATATAAATAACACTGGCGCAAACACACACACACACACGCCACCTTTCTCCTCTTTTGCTTCCGGCCGCTGCCGGACAGACGAGCTCGTTCCTTTACTCTGGGCTTGAAGAACGAGTGCAGAGGAAGAAAAAGAGAGATGGAGTGAAAACGGAGTGAATGAAATGAGAGCTGGTGGCATATACAGTGTGGAGAGCATGAAGGAAAAACAGGGAAATGTGAAGGGAGAAAAAGAAAGCCAGAGAGCTTGGAAACCACGATTGGCTAAATAATCTGAAGAATATAACAGAATAAAGTAGGTTCAGTGTTGTTATTTTTAACTAAGATCTTTATTAATCTAACTGTTCGTTCAAGTCCATTAAATAATATTAACAGACACAACCTTTGATTTTATTAATGTATTAGTAAATGTTGACTTTCAGATGAACACAGATTAAGAAATGCCTAGAAGTATGTTTCATTGTTAATTTAGTTAACTAATGATAACAAATGGAACATTATTGTAAAGTGTTACCAGAAAAATACATTTATAAAATTAAAATGAAAACGGACATAAAAACTAATTCAAAATATCAAGAATAATATTAAACGAACAACCTTTGTATGTGAACGTGTGTGTTCTCACCTCTTCGCTGTCTTCTCCTCTCATGCTGCCAATGAATCGAGCCCCACCTCGACCTGCAGCATTAGAAACACACAAATCAAGTACGACCAGATGTGCGTGTGTGAGTGGATCAGCAAATTATGCTGAACGTCTTCCGTCACCTGACATCTGAGCGTGTCGTGCGAGGTGTGATCTGGGCTGCTGCCCGTCATCCATGTCGCTGTCAGATCCTTCATCCTCTTGTATGTCCACATCCGAGTCTTCATCTTTTGCTACAGAAAAAGAGAAGCTGTGAGATATTTGATTGACACACATCCTAATTTTGCAAGTTAGACATATTCCTGGATCAACATGTTTTGTTGATCCTGGAAAAACATTCCAGTCTGAAAATGTAATCCTAATCATATCCCTACCCATGAGTTATCTCTAAAAACACTATGTAAGCACCTAACCCTGGTTGTAAGTGTAAACTTGTCCCTCAAATCTGATCCCAGGATCAACAAAGATGTCAGAAACCAGGTTCAAACGTGTGTGTTTGACCCACCTCCACTCCTCATGAGTCTCTTCTCCTCCTCTTTTAATTTGTTTTGTCTCATTTTCATTGCCATTTCTGCTTCCTGGAAGACAAAACAGCCGAAGGATTAATTAGGGAAACATCAGCATTGACTTTTTGAAGTGAATTACAGAGGTGAATTTGGGTGAAATATGACAGTCTCAAGCGTTCCACTCATTGTTGTCCTTTATTATTTGTATATTTAGCTGGCTAGATGAAATGATTACGTTTTAGGTTCAGGCCTCATATGAGTCGTACCTCGAAGCGTTCCTGCTCGACTCTGTGATAGTCGTCTAGCTGCTGCTCCAGGAAACTGAGGTTACGGAACTTCTCCACATACGTCTGGTACTGTTTCTGCAAGTCTTCCTCGATCTTCTCATACTCATCCATAAACGCTGGACTACATATTGAAACACAGTGACAGAGAGTGTTTTAATAGTTTGTGCATTTGTATATTTTGTGAACTAGAACTAAAACCATAAAAAAAAAGTTTAAATTAAAGTACTAAAATAACTCAAATGTAATAAAAAATTATATATATATATATATATATTTTAACTAATAAAAATTACAAAAACATACAATAATTACTAAAATTAAATAAAAATGAAAAATTCAAAATATTAACAAACAATAATAGTATATGAATGATGCCACAGTAGCAGCTCACCGCACGCTCTGTAGAGTTTGTAAACGCTTCTGGTTTCTCTCCAGGTCCTGTTTCTTCTTCTCGATTTTGGCCTCCAGACTGGCCTCATCTGACGATACGTTATTGAGCAGATCCTTCGTCATTTGGATGCTCTCCTGAACACAGACAAACAAAGATACACAAGGATAGATGCTATTTAGACCACAAAATAACATCACAATTCTCCAAAGATGTTCCTACTGTTCTTTTTGCTTGGTAAACTACTCACTGAAAGCACTAAAATCATACTTTTCAAGAACTGACCTGAAAGAGAAAGTGAATTTGAATTGATATTATATAATTAAAGTTGTTTTTAAGATGAAATATAACTTATACGGCCACAGAAATCATGTGGCCTTTTTGTGTACGTGTGGTTTCAATAGTATTTTCGTCAATTTTGAATGAATTTTAGTACAAGGTTTTCGGTGAATCATGAACACATTTGTACGCAGATTTCATTGCGCACACATGCTTAGTGAATGAGACCCTTTGTTTTGGGAATATTGAAAAGAAGTGATCCTAACATGAAAAACTGGATCTTGTGAACCTGCGAGGATCAGTGTTTTACCGTAACGTCTTTGACAGCCGCTCTCAGGGCTCTCTCTGTCTCAGTGATCTCCAGCGGTCGGGCTATCGCAGCCGCCCTGCTCTCTCTCAGGTCCTCTTCGTGCCCCAGCAGGTCAAACAGAGCTGCTCCCTTTGCTGTAATTTCAGATCCCAGCTGACGTGCCACCTTTAAATCAGCTATCTGCACAAACATCATGTATAAGATTTAACTCGTCTTGAAAAGTCTGCTAGAATTTATGATATAAATCTAACACAATTTACCTTTGACCCCAGATCAAACTTGAACTTGCTGTTTTCGTCATTGTTTTGGTCACCACTGGCGTTCTCTTTGGTTTTCATGGCATTATAGAGGATGCTGGTGATTTTCAGCATCTCTTTGACAGCGTAACCATCTGCCTGATATAGACGCTTAAGATTCAGCTTCACATGAGCCTTGGTGGCCTAGAGAAACACAGAGAACATGCAGTGAATTCAACATATGCTGTACTTTGATAGCTCACGTCTACATCAGAAATAATTCTAAACATTATTTTACCCATTCTAGACAAAAAAAGTGAACAAATATGATGATTATTAACACAATAATATAGTTTAAGTTTACCATAAATTGGGCAACAGCTTTGATGAAAAACACCCTGTCTGATTCGGTGTCAACGTCACTGGGAATTTCCATCTGAGGTTCATATCTAGGGGATGATGCACACAAATATATATTTTTATTATATTCATACATATTTAACATGCATAGCTTTGAATTGAATATGATTTAATGTCTCTCTGCCAGCCTCTCACAAATCTGTACCTCTTCACGAGCCAGATGAGAATTTCAGTTACTAAAGGAAAGTTTGGAGATCTGAAGTTTTCCATGGAGATGAGACGAGGATATCCAAGCGCTCGCATCATCTCTGTAAAATCTACATACCCAGATCATAATAAATATTCATACACACTACATACTGAAAATATTACAGTAGTACTACTTAGGTTTAGGTTCACTTACTTCTCAGGTCTCTAAAAGACATTATTGCTTTCTTTTAATCCAGTGAACACACGACTGTCGCCTATTATTAGACAAGAAGAAAAATGACGTTCCACTAAAAGGAATACACTTTCATTGTTAATGTACACATTAAGATTTCAAATCTCAATGGAACCACACACACACACACACACACACACACACACACACACATATATATATATATATATATATATATATATATATATATATAAAACAACTTGTGACTTGATGAGGGGTAAATATACTAATTTCAACAAGCCTCATCAGATAAAAGCAGCTAGCTTGCTTGATCGTCGACTTTTACCTTCCCTCTGTCCAAATGCTGACAATCGAGAATTATCACAAACCTGTTACCGTTTTAGTCGTAAATCATGTAAAATAAGAGGGATAATTAGCATAAAAGCGGAATTCTTACATGCATAAGCGTCTGTTGCTGTGTTCGTCACTATAGCAGCCAAACGGACCTATGGAAGCCCAAAAAGGACAAACAAAATCGCAAATGCGAAACGCGTTTTCTTAAAACTATTTTCTTGCGAAATTAAAGAAGAACCAAACGTCGGGTATTTCATAATAATAACGATCTCAACAATAATCCGATAGAATATTTAATAAAATACAGTCAATAATTTTAAAGGATATTTTTTGATTGTGATAAATGAAAAATACACAAGCAATATCGAGAATACAGTACAAATATGAATACAAAAAAGTTTGCATTATTATTTCATTTTTTTCCCCAATAGCTGGCGTCTATTCTGTGACTTTTAGGGGAAATTTACACAATTACACACACCATTCATTTCTGTATATTAAGGTTCCCCGTTATTATTAAAATATGCTATGCTCATAAATAAGATAAAAATGTGATTCGCATATTTAACGGCTCTAATTCACAGTTTTAGGCATGATGACGTAGGCCCTACGTCATGCCGTTCGAACGCGTCGCGGCGGTCTCTGCAGCGCGAGGAGGAAAGCGGTTCATCAACAACACAACAAACTCGCAGACCTGCAAAACCCTCAAAACATGTTTCAAATCTAAAATTATGATGAACAATGAACGGTTTTGTGATGGATAAGACCTTTCTGGACATGTAGGAAACGGAAGTGAATTGATTTTGTTTGTGGTAGTTTGTGAGCTACAGTTCGTTAGCTGTCAACAGGTGAAGTAAACAATGTCTTCCAGAGGTAAGATTACATTACCCATTAAATCACTTCACTGAGTATAAAGGACCTGAAATGTACCTGGACTGAGTTTTTTTTTTTTGTATGAAGATTCTGTATATAGCAGCACAACATCCATTACAGTATAATACAATTTGAAATATAAATGTGCACATTATATAACATTCAATCCTTTATATATCATGGATGCCCCAATGTAACCAAACTAAAATTTAAAAGCTAGCCATGTTTTCATGTGTAAATATCCAGTTTAAATTGTAAATAAATTACATTATGAATATGTGCACAATATTATTAGGAAAATATTTGGTTCATTCTACTCACTGCATTACTGTACTGCTAGGGTTTGGTACTTTATTATTTAGTTTTTTTTAATAATAAGTATTTTTCTATTTTAAATAATATTAACAAAACTTTTCATTATTTATTTATTTTTATTTTTTTTTACATTTTTTGCACTGTTTGCACTGGACCCTCAAGCTTTCCCTTGAAAACTCCTGCTCACAATGCTTTTAACAATGTACAGCACACATGCAGACTGGAGTGTATCTAAATAAACATCCAGCGGTGATGAATGATGATTGTGTCTGTATCTCTCCATCAGCTCTGTGGCAGCAGCCGTATGTAAACATCTTCAAACACGTGAAGATCGAAGAATGGAAGAAAGTCAGCAAAGAGGGAGACGTCACAACATACATGGTAGGAGGTTTAATCCTCTTGTAAAACTATAAGATGTTGTTGCTGCACACGATTCTCATTAGCATTCATTATATGTTATATTTATCGTGCTGTATTGTTTATTAGGATAAGAAGCTGAAATGTTCTGTGTTTCGGATCCGTGGCTCCATTCCGGCCAGTAACTACATCCTGCTTCCCAAAACCAGCAGCCAATCTCTGGGTCTTACTGGCCAGTTCCTCTACCTGCTCTTCAGACCCAGCCCAAACAAACACTTCATCGTGCACCTGGACATCACAGCTGAGGTGAAGAGTGTCGGCTTTCATGTGCATATATATGTTAATGCTTTAGTTTTTATTATCAATAACAAAACTGTCCTGTATATCACGCTTTGTTGATCATTCAGGAGGGTCAGGTGATCCGTGTGTCGTTCTCTAACATGTTCAAAGAGTTCAAGTCCACGGCGACATGGTTGCAGTTCCCTTTTCTGTGTGGAGGTGCACACGGTTCAGTGTATGAGAATACAGCCAGTGCTGCTAAACAAGGTAGACATTCATTGTTTTATTATCATCTCACACATGTTGCTTTTTATTATCATTATGATGTTTTCTACATACAGCAAGGGCTTTTTGTTGTTGTGATTACTGATGGACACTTGTGCATTTCAGATTTGGTGGGCCCAGCGCCGCCGAGCACAAGGTGGACGTGTTTGACGATGGACCTGCGTTACGTGCTCTCGGTTTATCTGAACCGAACACACAGTCACCTTAAGAGCATCAAACTCTGTGCCAATATGTCTGTTAAAAACATCATCACCAGTGACCTGCTGTTTGACCCTGGTACATTTTGACTGTGCTCCTTTTACGGTTGCAGATGAATTGCATAACATTTAAAGGAGTCGTTCACTTTTCAAAAAACTTTTGCTGATAATTTACTCACCCCCATGTCATGCAAGATGTCCACGTCTTTCTTTCTTCAGTCGAAAAGAAATTAAGGTTTTTGATGAAAACATTCCAGGATTTTTTCCATATAATGGACTTCAATGGTAACCAAACGGTTTAAGGTCCAAATGAGAGTTCAAGTGCAGCTTCAAAGGGCTTTAAACGACACCAGACGATGAATAAGGGTCGTTTAAAGCCCTTTGATGCTGCACTGAAACTGTCATTTGGACCTTGAACCGTTTGGTTCCCATTGAAGTCCATTATATGGAGAAAATCCTGGAATGTTTTCATCAAAAACCTTAATTTCTTTTCGACTGAAGAAAGAAAGACGTGAACATCTTGTAAATTATCAGCAAAAATTTTTTAAAACTGAACTACTCCTTTAATGTCAATCTTGTGAAGCATCTTTGAGCTATGGAACAGTGTTGTGTAAATTAAATGTATTATTATTACACTCTTTTTATTATTACATTCTTCTTCTTTTTAGGTGTGTCATTCTCTGAGTTCAGGCAGTTCGGTGTGATGTTGCCAGATGGCACTGCCCCGATGCCCAGAGAAATGTGTTTCCCTGTACCCAAAGGACAGAGCTGGCACCACTTATATGATTACATTAGGTGAGTGCCACTACTTTGGGAATGCACATTTCCTGTTAAATGGACACATTTTGAATTAGCTTAAATAAAATATTGGTGTAATTCTCGCGCTTTTGTAATTTTTATGAGCTTTTTTATATTTCTATAAAGCCTTGAATCATTTTTATTTTAGTTTTAGTCATTTTAATTCTGAAAACTATTTATTTTTTAATAATTACTTAAATTACTGAAAATAATTTTAATACGTTTAGTTTGAGATAACAATAACAACACTGTCATGTATACCTGGTTGATGTAAGTCTTCCGATCCACCCATGCATGTGTTCTTTCCCGCTCTTGTTTCCTGAGAAATTTAGTACTAATTTTTCACTAGCCTATTTAAATATTTTTTTTATTCTTTTAATAACACTTTTTCCCAAGTCCCTGGATGACTGAGCATGTGCATATGTCTTATTTTAGTGGATTTTTTAGAATAAGGTGTCTACATTTCTGATTAAAACAGTCCGTGAGTGAGAATTGGAATCAAGCAGAATGCTAATAGTTAGGAATATTGCCAAATTCTGGTTGATATCATAAACATTAGTCAGTGATTCACATATCAATGTTATTTCATTGTTTCAGAATGTATATTGCAGAAATTGAACATCTTGTGCGATTAACAGATTTCCCTCAGATGGGACAAAGTTACCATTTGATTCCATACAGAAAGGATCCAACAGTGCAGCTGAAAGTGAGTCTTGCGCATGTAAACACACACAGTCGCACACAACAACGTAATTTTTATCTGATGAAACCAAATGGTCATTCTGCAGAAGTCTCGCCCTCAAAGAGCCCTCAAAGAGAAGAGAGTCGCATCGTAAGCCTCAGTAAACCTGTACGAGACCGAGTCTCCCTCATCCAGCAGATCACCACCCCCAAATCTGCACAAGTGTTTGTGTGTGAACTTCAGTTGATCCTCATTCAAATGCAACTAATGTTGACACATACAGGCTCTAATGGCTTCTTTCTCTCTGTGTAGAGCACTAAGCAGCATTCGCTGATCCAGAAAACGCAACTCCCTGAGCTGATTTATACACCCTCTGGAGGCTCAGAGAGCCCGGGGTCATCCGGTCAAAGGTTGCAGGCAGGTGAAGAGGTCACAGTAGTGTGTGCTGATGATGCTGGAGTACATGTTTATGCTAATTGCGAGGATGACGTCTATGCCCACATGACGGACAGTGAGGAGGAAATCACAGTAAGTATTGTAATCCGAGATCGGCTTCCTCAGTTGAAATCCTAACAATGACAAGCTAAGAAGATTAAAAAACTGTGTCTGTCTTTGAGTCTTCGATTTCTCGATATTAATCGATTCTCATTTTTACGAACCGATAATTAAAATCGTTAAATCTCAAGAATCGATTAGTCATCCTGTTTCATTTGAATGAATAATCTTTGTCCTTTGTTACTATTGATATGAAACAAAGTCTCAATTTTCAAGTTACGTCCATTTTCTTTAGAAATTCAAAAACATAAATAGTGTTTTGGCGCTGTGGCGTGAGATCGCTCTGGCACAGCTCAAGAGAAGCAGCAGCGCTGATCTCTCTTCCGGCTTAATAATACCAGTTACAGCGCGAAATAAACATGAATGAGCGTCTGAAAGTGTGTTAAAGATAGAGTACAACTTATCGAAATCCATATCATGTCACATTGATTCGCTCAATCAGCGTTTCAACCGTGGAAAGACGTCAGTTAAACAGCTTGTAATCAATGTATCGTCATATTTACCTCAGAAAACCCACATAAACTCGTTAGTCAGCTAGAAAAAATAACTCTAGAGAGGAGCATTTTGCTAAATATACACCATATTACATATGCATTATAATCTTAATGTTCTTCAATATTTAATGCATATTTGAATAAATCTGGCAAGTTTTTATGACAGCCACCATTTAAATGTTTATATTTCAAATAATCTTCTTATTATAAAAATAAATAAAAGTGTAATTTAAGTGTTTGTATAGCTACAAAACAGTTAATTATTACTTTCATATTAGGGTAATGAAGCCTAGTAGGCTACAACTAGACTCCCATAGTTTACAGCA